AGTGTCTCCTTCCTTCAAAGCTCTCGTGAGCTCGTCCATGAGGGAGGAGATAGGGGTCGTTCGGAACCTGTCCGAAAAGAGCGTTTGTATGAGTCACCTAGCATGCTGTTCCGATATACTCAATTCTTTGAATCTAGGCCGCAAACGTTGCAGGACTGAGGGATTGGGAAGAGGCAAGGCAAGCCTGCGGCAAGAACCGGAAGGAGCAAGGCAGTGAAGGAAGCATGTACAATCTGCGCAAAGGCAATAAGACAATCTTGCAGTCAATTCGACAGCTCTGGTCAGAAACAAGGCAAAGTTGGCTGGAGCTTTGAAGCTCTGAAGGCAGTTCGATCCAGTCGAAATCACTTGGGAATCTATCGTACAGTGCTTTACACTTACCTGATGTAGTTCTTGAACGGGACTAGCTCCTTCCCGCAATGCACCACCTCGTAATTGTGGTCGACTCTACGAGGATCGACCTTGTGCACGTTGCGGATGCACTCGTAAATGTGTCTCTGCCTCTCCTCCATCTCGTTCAGGGAATCAACCTCTGCCTTCCGGAGCAATTTGCGGTACGCCTCTTCATCAACGACGTACTTTGCCCGCCAATCCTCATCAGCGAGGTTCTTGTCTCCGTTAGTCGCTTTGCGCACCGCAATGGAGGGTGCTTCGTCGTCCAGATACACCTCCTCGACGACGAACCCTTGCTTGATCAGGTCAGCGCGCAGGAGCTCGGGATAGTCCCGGAAACTGTTGGCGATCGTGAGAATGTTGTTTGCGTAGAGGATGCAGCTCGGGGAGTTTCTGTCGCAGATTGGCCGCGTCCCCGAGGGTGCCAGCATGAAGTCTAGATGCTCGGTGCTTCCAAGCAGCTTGGCCAGCTCGCGGTCCTCGTCCTCAATCGCGCAGAAGACGTCTTCCACAGTCGAAGGGAGCGACCGTGGGCCCGCACCACCCTTCACGTAGATCGTGAAGTCACTGACAGTACGATCGCGGAAGAGCTGCTGGAGAAACGTCTCGACAGTGGGCCCCCGCTCGAAGGCGTTCATGGCAAAAGCGATGAGCTTGTCAAAGTGGGGCCGCTCCCTCGAGATACCAGGGCCGATCACAGGCGAAGAGGCGCACAGGTCCGCCGTCAGATGAGTATCCGGATCGGTAACTGCCAACACAAGAGCCTCTTTCGCGGCCTCCGACTCTGGCTTGGAGTAGAGGAACTTTCCAGACTTGGCAGTCGGGCTGTCGCTCGGGTAGCGCTGCTCGAAGGCTTCCTTGAGCTTCAGATCGTACGTCTTGCTGGCGGAGGGCGCCTGCAAGGTGTCAGAAACGTTCCGATATTCGTGTGCAGTGTGCTCCTTTGATCTAGGCCGCGACTCGTTGCGTTCGGAAAAACATGATCGTTGCGCTGCTGCTTGTGCGGCAGTGCTGCCGTGCTGTACTAAACTAGAGTTGCGAGAAAATCCTGAATTTCATGCAATGTTCCGGAGCAGGTTGAAGTAAAGAGAGCACGGATCAATCCTGGTCAAAATATGTTGAAGTGACGCGCACTCGACGGGCGGATCCTTTCGATCTGAGAAGCTTGCGGATTTTTTCTGTCTGCTGACGTGGCCGTCTGTGATTGGTCGGTGGGGGATCCGTGGCTGTGTTCCGTTTTTCGTTTCCGATTTCGTTTTTTCAGTCTGCTTTCTTTCTGGTTGGAAAGAGCCGGGGAGGGCGTTCGTTTTTTGCAGCCTGCGTTGGGAAGTCAAAGCTTTTCTTCTCTCTTGAAAGTTGCACGAAGGGACTCACTATGACCTTTTTGCCTCGGTCCAAAGCCTCCATCGTCTCAGCAATGGCGGGGCCGTAGGGATCTGCCTGGAAACGCTTGGTCGACGGGATGTACTTGATCGTGGCCTTCCTTTCACCTGGGTACACCCCGCGGTTACGAATTGCGTGCAAGGCAGCATCCGTCCGGACCATGTACAGCCACTGCATGACCCGAGGGCTGCCGATGTTGGCGTCCATCCCGAGCACAATCTTGGCGTGCTTTGTCGCCCCCTCCACTGCCAAGAAAACCATCTTCTTCCGAGCCATCACATCCGAGTTCATGTTGGACATGATCATGTCCATCTCGTCCATGATGACTACGTCAAAGCTGGCGTCGAGCCGTGGGAGGGAGTTGACGCAGCACACCACCCTGCTTGCCGTGATCTTTCCAGGCAAATCTAGGTACAGCGTGACCTCAATGCCGCGCCGCTTCAGATCTTCGTCATATTTCCGAGAGAGCGTGACGTTGGCTGCGATGACGGCGACGGAGGCGTGGGGATAGATTTCCAGCAGCCTCTCGAGCCAGTCGAACCCCTCCTTCGACTTTCCAATGCCCTTGTTGGCTGAAGTGAGGATTGTGTGCTTGGCGGGGGAGTCGATGGGGAAAACGGGATAGGGCAGCATGCCGTCCGCCTTGACGTAGTCCTCCGTCCAGCCAGTGATCTGCCCCGTTTCGAGGTGCAGCAGGCGTGCAGTCCCACTGCAAAATGGAAGCGAAATGAGTCAAAGATTGCAGGAAACCTGGCGGAGCACATAATCAAAATTGCATAAGCGTCAATCGTGCAAACTGGCGCAAGA